TAGATGTGTTTAAATGACTGTGTTTTGCTTGAAACAGTAAATACGTTTGCATCAGTTTAAATGTGAAAATAACACATTAATGCAAAACCTGTTGTCTGCAGCTGCCTTACACTTCAGCTTTCTTCACTTCCTTGAATCTCTGCAGCATCTAACAGCAACAGGGCAGACCTACAACCTTTAGACATATCACACCACAGTACAGTGACATTCTGCCCAAATGTCCACAGCGTTTATCTTCATTAAATCATATGTAGCGCCAGACTGCTGCAAAGCGCTCCACCGACTCGATATTCTGCCCTTCATGTGGCTCATCAGTCCTCTTTTCCAGCCTTCTTGTTACCAAAAGTGCCATTTTCATGCTCTTAAAGTGGTGCAAACGCTATCATGTCACATTTTACAATACGATGCAACCATTTACGAGTTGAGATATGGTGCAAATAAAACTGCAGCAGTTTGGACGGCTGCGTTACACAAACATCATCATCGTACAAGTTAAATAAAATCCCACCATCTGCCTCCGGCTGCAGCTCACGTCGTGCATCGTTCACTCAGTAATATAATTTCCTGCAGAAGCTTCTTTCCATTTGTCGAGCTGCTGCGGCCTTTTGTTCTTATTGCAGAATAAATATTGCCAATGCTTTTTAATAAGAACTGTTGGATTTTGAGCGATGAATGTGGACGTTTATCAGATCGGTCAGTTTTAGACTAATGGAAACGCGCCGATGGTAATAATGATGTTATTGTTCATTGTTAGAGGAGAAATATCTGCTTTCAGAGTTACTGTTTACAGAGTTAATTAACCAGATGTGAGGTACAATAGGACACATTAATTTATGCTTTTTAATCAGACGGGTACATATGGAGTTTTCTCTCTTAGCTGTCACCCATATGGCATCAGACAGACACTTCCCCGCTGCAGTCTGTATTATTGATGCCGGCGTGGGAGCTGCTGTTGCTTCCTTCATGTCGTGTTATTCCTTCGTTTGAGATTATTCAGTGAAGAATCGCGCTTAACTGTAAAGAAATTGGCAATCAGTGCTGACTGGACTTACATCCTCTGCAGCTCCACAGTCAATCAAGCTGCTGGATTTTGAGGTTGTCAGTTTTGAAGCTTCAGCGGTTCAGCATGAGGTCAGCGGTCACAGGAGAGCTTTAACCCGGTCCAGCAGGTTATCTGTTATGAAAATACAAACCTCTTCTTTTTGAAAAGTGCATTGAATAAAGACGCTGCCTGAATTGTTACAGAAAAAAACAAAAAAAAACTTTAAAACAGTTTTTATCTTCTATTACTTTTTATCTCTTTTACCATTATCTTACTTGTTATCTTACAAACTTTGCCTGTTTTGTTTTCCTACATAGATAATAACCATTAAAATCTAAAACAAAAAAAAAGTATTAATTTACATTATGGTAGCTGAAAAGAAAAAAAAAAATTCAAAACTGGCCCAAATTGTAAATGTCCACATTAAAAAACTTTATTAAACGGTGTTCTTTTGCAACATTTAGCCATAAAATCACTTTTTTTTTTTTACTCTATTTAAATCATCAAAACACTTGTTTTACAGATAATAATTAAAAAGAAAAATAATATATATTAAGGTTTGAAAAATCATTTTTCAAACTGTTATTTTAAAGATTTTTCCTGGGTTTTTTTTTCAATTACAGATAGAATCTAGTAAAATTACACAAAATGCATTAATTTACGTGTTA